TGCTAAACCAGAATGGAGCCTGGCAGCACTGGTGGTGTCCTGCCAGGTACCACTGGAACATAGCTGGTATCCTTTTTCTGTAAGAAGACCCTATATATCACTGCTGCTTCCTTTTCTCCTTAAGAGTTTTCTGTTCTCTAAGGACATCTTCACACTTGAAACATCTTCATGCTTATGTAGCCTTGGGCTCTACTAGGAATTCCTATTGGGAATTCCCCCACTGGGAATTCTGCCACCAGATTTCAAAGGAAAGAGAATAATAATGCTCTTCATTAATATAGGCTTTTCTGTCATGACTTTTAGGCCCCTCTCCAGGCAAGCAGGCAAGCACATGTTTAACATTAAACACACGAGTAGTCTCCATTCACACGCTGCAAGCTAGAAATGCTCATTAGTGTTGGATCATGGCCCCAGCTGAGCTGCTAACACACTTCAACTAGAGAGCTTGGCTGGAGGAAAGGTGGCACTGAAACCTTTCACCATCACTGCTTTCACCATCACTGCTGCACCAAGCTGCACCATCACTGGCTGAGCAGCTTCAGCGTTTCCTTCCCAAGCACTGCTACTCCAATGGCCGATAGGCTGTCCGCTTGGCAGCAGAGGCACAAACTGTTGAGCTGCCACAGTGTCATCATTCAGGGCTAGTTAGCTGATGAGCACAGCTCAAAATACACCATATTCAAGTGTATCCTGTGGAGTATTTTCAGCTTTAGCATCTTTGCAATGAATGGTGAAAGGGGAATGATTTGAGGCAGCAGTGAAATAGCATGATTGCTGCAGGCTCTGAGAGAGTGCTGGGTCCTGTAACACTGTGTGGTAAATGCTTGAGAAGTTACATGGGGCTCCTCAGACCATTATGTTACATGTTAAAACATGGATTGATCAAGCTTTCAAAACCAGCATTGGATGGAGTTTCTGTATATCTTTATGTATCCTGGGAAATACCTAAGCAAAGCCACCTTACACATGGTGGCTTGCTCAGGTCTGTGCAGAAAATCACAGTCCAGACTAAACAGTCTATCACTCTTAGTTTTAAGTATCCCAGATGAAAAGACACATTTTTGTTTTAAACTGCTTTTAATACTGTTTTCTCAAAAAAAAAAAAAAAAATTCATTACCTCCTCGATCTTCTCAACAAGTTTAAGCCTCACAGCTTCCCTGCCTCCTCTGGAATTACTAAGTCATTGCAGACATCAAAAATAATGAAGAGGTGAAAGATTCAGCAGAAAGGCAAAATCTTACTGGAAAAAAAAATATTTCTTGATATCAAAAGCAATTTAAGAATAATGAACATATCTATCAGAATAATAAACAAACTTCCTGATGCATACAAGAATGCATATGAAGGAGGACATAAGACTTTGGGGTTTGTTTTTTTTTCTTTAAAACACCAATTCATTTTTAAAGTGAAAGTATCTATGTGCTTCTGGGGCTTTACATGAGTGGGATTTGCACTGCCTAAACTTTTGCTGTACTTTAAACTCAGCTAAATTAGCCAAACTGTGCAGAATGGGGGCTCTCTTTGCTTCATCTTTCAAGACAGATGGGTTAAGCTGAAACACAGTTCTCCATGTATCCATCCATGAGTATCCTGTTACTTAACACTAAGGAAATGGCAGAATGGTTCTGGCTAGCTTGAGATTGAATTTGAACAGGGATGAGAGATGTGGAAATGTGACTAGGGGTTAAAATTAAATGAATACATATTCAAAATAAAAGCAATGTGCAGTTCAGCTGAACCTTCTTGTAGGAAACTGAGATGTTTAGTTTCTTTGTGATATAGACTCTCAGTCCTCCCTGTCAGTGGCTTTGCAGCTGTTGCAAACATAGAAATAACCTGTAGCTCTATATTCCACACTAGACCTGATAAAGCAGTATTATTATAAGATTCTTGGTATTGGAAGAAAATGTTTGTCATAAGCCCTCATTTAAATACTCCTGAAACAAATACTTCTTTAGTCCTACCTGTACAGCAAGATGACTTCTTGGCAATTCAAACAGTCTAACCGAGAATAAGTGTAACTAATGTATGGGATACTGTAGCACTCCCATACCACTGCTAATAGAAGAAAAATTAATATTAGTTCCAATATGAATGGAGTGCTGGATTGACTGAACAGGGAGCTTTGAAATAAATATCTAAGAAATGTTTGGATGAAATGGACATCTTTACAGACATTTGGTCTGCATTTCAGAAATGTAGATGATTAAATCCACATTGTTGGCTTCTTCCCCCTCTGCACTATGTCTTTCTTTACATCTTGCAAAAAATTTATGAACAAAGTAATTGTAAATCTGCAATGTCTGTCTTGTCACTTAGATTCTTTTCAGAAATGCTGCCTTGCCAATGTAGATATACAATCCTGAATGATTAATATCTATTACTTATAATTCTAAATACAATGGAAGGTCACCAAACATACCCTGCCTAAAGGAGTCTGGAGCCCTTTAAAATCTCACTAGTGATGGATCCTGAGTGAGCTTAAAATCTTAGCAAAACACTTTTCTATGTAGGATTTCCAGTATTTCCTGCTTCTGACTATGGCTAAAGCCAAAAAAGCACAAAGGTGAGCAAAAGATACAGATCTGAAAACATGAGCTTGGATTTCGAACCCAAACAAAGGTCCGGGAGTGCCTGGATCTTGGATCAGCCTATAATAGAGCTATAAGTAAAATGCGAAGTTAGGATGCAGGGTGAGACTTGAATTCAGATAGAACAGGCATAGTAGGTAAAAACTGTTTCATTTTGCTCTTTCTTATATCTTTCCTTTTCTTATATCCATCAATACATCTATATAGAGTATCTTGGGGGTGTTAGAATAATGAAGATATTTAAGGATTTTTTAATTCTTATTAATTAAAAGGAAGGTAGCTTGGGGATTTTCAGATTTTATAATGAAATTCTAGAAAAATTTTACATAAAAATCATCTTAAAAAAAAGCTCATTGCACTAACAGCTCATTTTCTTTTTGTTATAACCTCAATCATTTTTAAACACAGTTTTTTACAAATAGATGCAACTGGAGGTCACTGAGATCAACTGATTATGATTTAGCCCTCTTCTAGCAAACCTAAAGAAAGACATTAGAACATATCAGAACCACAGGATCCAGTAAACTGGTGAAGATTCAGGTGGAAATCAGGTCAGACCCTGAACCGGTTCACTTACCCTGCCTGAGATCTGCTTCGTATTTGGACAATCTTCTCTAAGGAGCTAAATATAATAAGCACATAAGAATCTGCATCTGCCTCTGCGTCTTTATTCAAAGATTCACTGCAGCTGTGATTAAGCAAAAGAACTAACTGAAGTACAAACCTGGAAAAAATCAACTGAGAAAAATGTAGATTCTGTTGATGGGCATGCCCCTAGCGAAATTATAGTGAAAATTAAAAAATCCCAGTGACCATTAATCAGATAGAAGACTTTTCTCTAGAAATGAATTTGCCGAGCATTGCTGATGACACTTTTCTAAACAGGCAGCCATGTTGACCAGTGTGATGAGTGAAAACCAGAAAGACAGACAGAAAGGACTGAGTGAATTTAAATAAATAAATAAATAGTTGCCATAATTAAAAAAAAATAAATTACAAATAATTCCAATCTCATGAAGAAATGTTTTTAACAAGCCACATGTGCTTGTGCAGACACTTCTAATCTCATTAGATTGTTCTGGCTGCTATCAGTGTTCTCTGAGCCAGTTGATTTCTCAGCAGTGTTTTAAAGAGTGCGAGCCTTTGCTCTCCAGTCTAGCCACTGTTAAAATAGCCCATTCTAGGAGAAGACTTGGGAGTTCATGTACTTTCTTCCAAGGTTTTGAAAGTTTGGAACAAATTGACTATTACATGTGAAACAATAGTCAACCACAAACTATCTTCACAATCAACAATCAACATTCTGTTCCCAGCTGGTTAGTGTGAAAAGTGGAATAATCCCACCAAAGCAAGAGGATGGCTTCAGATTGTCATCAGCATCACATGGCAAAGGCTGATTTTCAATCCTGTCTCCAGTCCTCCAGCTTTTTGGTGCCAAACAAGAATCTCTCTGCTGTGAGATTCCCCTCGGTCAGAGTTCACAAGTTTGTGGTTCCCTTCAAATCAGTGCAGCTCTAGCAGATCTCATCAGAAGGGAAGACACCTTGGGTTACATCTTAGCCTTATTTTATCCTTGAAAACAACACTAAATCTCCCCAGACTGAAAATCAAGAGCCATGTGCACTGTTGTACATATCAGGGCAGCTGGGTTTCATGCAAAAGAGCTGTCATTATGAATTTGCTAAAGTAAGGTGCAAATAATCACTCACATAAAACAGATTGTGTCACGTAGATGCTACAGATAGAACAAATAATTGGTTTTAGAACATAATCCTAATTCAGAATCATGTAACCTGAATGGGTCAAACCTGGATGAATGGGACTAAGGCATAATGAATGGATTTTGGCTAGCATACTTGTTGAATTTCTGGATGGAAGTGTGCCTCTCTCTGTTTTAGCCTGCCCTCTCTGAGGGTCTCAGAGCAAACTTCTGGGGTGAGATGATGAGTGTTTGAAAGTGATCCATTTGGAGCCCAACATGAGGAAAATGCCCCCCCCCCACCTGGAATTCATGTGCAGCAACAGCTTTCTACTGCCTATCCAAGTTTCCCAAGATAGCAGTCATAAAGGAACTGGCAACCACACAGTCAAGATGACAATACCCTGCATCGTTTGGTTAGCTTTGCCAATTTCCTCTATAGTCACTGGAGACAATATGCTGTCCCCATTATCACTGTGTCTGCATGTCACTACCAACTTGCAGATCCAAGGTCTGCCCACCCAATTACTTGTTCATTCTTGTTTGTTTAAATATTCAGATCCAACAATATCACGTAAATTCTATGCAAAGTAGCATCTGCAAGTCTGACATACTCGTTCAGGTTTCCCCCTCTTGTGCCAAGTTAAAAACAAATGCCCTATAAACTCTTGGGCCTGCTAAAACAGAATATGCAGTCTGAGAGTTGGGGTCATACGCCTTTCCCCCCAACCCCTCTCAGATCTTGCTCCTGCCTCAAGGATGTCAACAGCACTGGGGAAAAAAACGTCCTTGAAATAGCCTACAGAAGAACCCGTTCTATGTGTTCCTAACTCTTGAAAATTCAGCTAACATCCTATTTTTAAAACTCCAAAGAATACAGGTGGTGATATACCCCAACATGAAAAAAGAAACTATTAAAGTGGATTAATTTCAAATACTGATTGCAAATAATACTAGTTGAGCAAGATCTCAGGTTCAGATTTCAAAAGGTCTCCATGATCCCACACTAGAGCTGCCTTCTCTTTTCTCAAGGGAGAAGCAGATTTGTCCCTTACCCATACACTTGAACAGATGAAGTCATAGGGATGCCAACCAGATAGCATAACAACAAAGTATATCTTAAGGCAACAAGGAGAAGAGTCTGTAAAAGGGGATAATGAGCCACCACTGAGGTCACTTAGGACTTGCTGAGCCGCTTGGCCACGTCTGCATAAGCTTGCTCAATTTCCTTGTCAGCTGCACAGGTGTTGGTGAATTCATCCCTGGCATACGCGTTCTTCAGGTACCGCCACAGCCCTGTCATCTCCGTTGGGAACTCAAAGTTGCGGTATTTCTTTGCAACAATCTAAACAAAGATAAAAGAGAGAAAAAAGTTAATTATTAGTGGTATATCTCCAGATTCTCTTTTAGAGAGCTTCTTACTCTTTCTTATTACATAATTAATCATAGAATCATAGTATAGTTAGGGTTGGAGAGGACCTGAAGATCATCAAGTTCCAACCCCCCTGCCATGGGCACTAATCCATATCACTCAAGGCTCTGTCCAACCCGGCCTTGAGCACCTTCAAGGATGGAGCATTCACAGCTTCCCTGGGCAACCCATTCCAGTGCCTCACCACCCTTACAGTAAAGAAATTCTTCTTTATATCTAATCTAAACTTCTCCTGCTCAAAGTTTGAACCCTACCACTACAGTCCCTAATGAAGAGTCCCTCCCCAGAAATAGGAAAGGACAGAAATGTTTGGAGGCTCAGGGACTTGAGAAACACAAAAGCCTGAAAAGTGACTGTTTGTTGTCCCATATCTTGCAAGGATTCCACTTGGCCTAAAGACACTCTAAACCAATGGCTTGATTACTGTCACCATGTTAAGATTTCTATGGTATCTGAAGTTCATTAATTTTACCATACTGGGTTTGGGGGTTTTTTACCAGTCTTCAGTACATTACTTGAAGCTGAGATGCCACATCAGAAAAAGCTGATAAGCTGAATCATAAAATGCAAGATAGGTTTAAGAGAAAGGTATTAGCAACAATTGTATATAACATATTTTCATATTAATTTTAACATTTATATTTACCATTATATTTTATATATCCTGTATCTGTATTTTTAATGTATGCAATTTATTTTGCCTGGCCAATGATGTCAGAGGATGTAACCACCTACAGCTGTTGGAAGGCTGTATCTGTCTTCATGCAAAAGAAAAATTCAGGGTGATATGGGTACCATGATTGAGAAACCAAGATGATTTAGCAGACATTAGAAACAGAAGTATTAGAACAAACTGGGAGAGAAAATGGTTATTTCAAGACTTGTCAGACTAGGAAATTGTCTATCAAGGGAAATTTTTGATTTCTAAAAACAGTCAGGCCCTTATTCAGGAAAATAGTTAAGTGCATACTTAATTTTAAGCACCTGTATAGTCCCATTGAAGTCAATGGGACTAATCTGTGCTTAAAGCTCGCTGGTGGGTTAAGTAGCTTCCTGGATTGGGACATTTCAGTTTTCCTGTAAGAATATACCATATAGAATAATCCTGCGGTGACAGAATGAACTGCTAATAGGAAGGGATGGATTAGCTAATTTAATGAGTGCTTCCAATCTCTAATTTTTCTGACAGTATAAAATTGTTCCTGGGCATAAATTACATACATATGTGCCACAGAGTTCCCCTCTATTTTTAAAGCACATGGTAGAGCTCTTTCCCATCTCAGATTTCTCAGGACAGTCATGCTCTTAGAAATGACTGTGATTTCTTTTTATTAGCAGGATTCACTTGGTATATGCAAGTCCAAATCCTGTCCTAAACTGCATTTAATTAAGCATTCTTGCCTTCAGTGACGCTTCACACACACATGGGGAAGATAAAACCCACTGGGCAACTTAAGTCAAGATTTTCATAATTTCCAGCACACATCTTCCATCAAATTAAAAACTAATTTACCCTTTTCTTCCATCTGTAAAATGTTTTTCAGGCAATATCCTATGGCTATGCTTGTCTGAGAAAGATTTTAATTCTTTTTTAACATCTTTCATTTCATCCAAGGGGACAAGAACCAGTAAAGGGCCGCATATTCATTTTGCACTGTCTGATTCCAATGTTACCAATGAAGACAAGCCAAATAAAGAGCTAAATTTGTGAGGATATTATCACATTTCTTACCTGGTGACTTATGCACTTTTGTATTGTTTTTACCTCCTTTGCATGCATGCAGTCAGCTGCCAGGCTCAGTTTATGTTTTGGCTCACGGAGCCAAGTTAGACGCATGTCTTTAATTCCTAGCTTATTTGCTTGCCAAGGCCTGCCAGGTACTTGCTTTATTCTAAAGAAACATGTCATCTTATAAATAAAGTAAATGCAACATTTACAAGTCAAGATGATGTACACCGTTTGCACTATACCAGTGACCATTGTACATCTTAAATCCTGGACCTCAGCAGTGACTTTGATTTGCTAACTTCTCTGTGTGAAGTATCAGCTGGAACAAATATTCCCTAAAAAGATGGACTGCTGCTCTTAAGCTATAAATGGATGGGAACTGACTAAAGCTCTGATTTCTCTCTTAAGAATAATGGAAACTAATAAATATGAAAGACTGCTGTTACTTGCAGCAGGGTAAAAATAAAGAGATGAGATACCTAGATCTTAATATTGTCTTTGCCACTAATTAGTGATGGGACAGTTTCCTCATGTATTTAATACATTATTTAAATTACCTTTAGGAAATAGTGAGGAGCAAAGGTACTTAAGGTATCTATGCTGAAATACTTTAGCAGGCAGCTGTCAGAGCAGGACACTTCATTGTCAGATAAGGCTTCTTTGACCATCATATGACATCTTTTACCTTGACAACATGGAGCTTGGGCAGAAGATTGCAGTCAGCAAGGGTCAGGTCATCTCCATCCAGAAACTTGCGTTTAGACACTTTCTCCTCTTCAGTGCTGTCTGCATCAATCTCCTCTGGCAGAGGGGTTCTCAGATAGTCATCCAGCTTCTTCAGAGCCTTCACCAAACCTTTTTCAAGGGCTTTGTCAAAAAGAAATGAATAAGTGATTAGGGCAAAGTAAGAATTATTTAGAAACACCCACTGTCAATGGCTATGGTAGTATCTAGAAAAAAAAAAATAAGGACCATCTTTTTGTTGTTAATTTGCACTCCAAAGTAGCCCAGCTAGGTCTGCCTGAAGGTAAAGTTCATCCTAAAATGGAAAAAGTGGACACAGGAAACTACTGTGCCACGTCTTCTCCTGACTAGCACAAAGAGGTCATGGAAGGAAAGAACAGCTTGTCAGCATGATACACCAATAAAACACATACACCCTACAGCATTCCTCTGGTCTGTTGAGGCCATCACACAGTAAACTGGAGGCCTGTACGCTGTTACTTTATATTTCTAAACAGCTAGGTAGGACTGTAATGAAACAGAATTTCCCAGCATTACTTCAGTTCTAAGAAGCTGTAGTTTTGCAAGTTTCAAATTTCTTCCCAAGTAATTAAAGGCAATAGCATTAATTCTGAAGATGCTAACCAGAGCTCTAAGGAGCTGGAAGATACACTGCAACTGAAACAAAGGTAAGATTTGTGTAATATTGTTGATATTTAACAATAATGAAATACATCGCTACACAGGTGAGATGTTCAACCACTGTTAAGATTTTCCCCACTTCATGTTCAACTTAGGTGCAAATTCTCTTTCTGACACGTCTCCAACAGGGTATCACAATGGAGAGGATATTTTAGACCTTTTACTGAAGACCATGTCCCACACTGCTGCTGGCTCCAGCAAATTCCAGTCTTTAAATGCCACTTAGACATAGTATAAAGAAGAGTACAAAGTTTTTACTTTAAAGTACCAACCCAGGCACAGAATTTGTGTTCTTATACTTTACTGCCTGGATAATAGAAAAAGTTGATTGCAATAATGCACTTACAGAAAGCTGAATGACTGTGCCCATGTTTGCACGGTATTTAAATGTCAAACACTCCGGGGTAAGAAGGGTCTTCTGCATTTCTATTCGAAGGTTGATAAGTACAGGGGAGTCCTTGCCCCTCACAAGTGCCCCAAAGTGAGAAAGCAATATAAATAAGAAACAGCAAGAATTTACAATGTGAAAAAATAACAACATGACTCATGGGCTTAGGGCCAGAATTTCAGCTGGTGAAAATTACCTGTAGTGATTTATACCTGCTGCAGATCTGGCCTGGAGTCAGCATTTAAGGCCTAATCCTGTAAAATGTTATATCCCTGAGTAACGTACTGCCATTTAACTTGGGGAAGACTACTCAATGCTTCAGGTTACTCAGGTGGTGTAGCACTACAAGGCCTATGGAGGTAAATATATTTATGGAGCACCACACAAGCCTCAAAAGGCTTCAGGGATCATCCAGCATAGAGTAGCTTGCTAGCACAGGTAGCTCTGCTGTCAGCCACCCCTGTGCTTTTGGCATGGAGAGAAATGAGGCATGCATAGGGCCATTGAGAGAGCAGGAGCTGGACATCACAGAACATGATTTCTTTGCTGCCTTAACATCCATTAAACCTTGTGCCAGCAGGGGAAGTCAGATTAAGCTGCCTGATGTTTTGCTCCCACTGAAGCCTCTTGGCCAAGCACCAGGAGCCATACCAGCTCTTTTGTGGCTGACTCCTAGACACAGTGGCAAATCCTGGCTTAATTGATTGACTGGAGAAATGACTGCAATCCAACTGAAAACACCCCAACAAACATAGCAGGGAGGGAAAGAATTTTATTTCTGAAAGCAGAGCATCTAAATCGACTGAAGTGCTGCCATCCATGAAACAAAAGTGTTGCCATCCCTCATTTAATCAATCCAAATTGAATTTTGACACTGACATTCTGCTGTCAGATGCTGGCAGTGGTGTCTTTAATTGTCTGCAGCTGTGCTCTGCTGCACAACTTCTACTGAAGGGTAATAATTTCATCGTGTGTAATATACCCCCACGTGGCAACACTCAAAAGATTCAGCAGTCTATGGTTTGACCCATGACACCTGTTGAACAGATAGTTCTCCTTCTCTTGGTCAGCTTCGGACTATGCCCTCTTAGAGTGCATTCATTTAGAGACAGTGGAATCAAATTACTGTTATTTAATTCAATTTTGCTCATCCAGACTTTAGAGAACTGGCTTAGCACTGAGCATTTTCCAGTATCGCCTTCACCCAGTAGGATTGTTGGTCAGCTGAGTCCTCTCTGCAATATTTCCAGTATCGGTACTATGTTAGATGTTTGGTGCTAGCCCATGGGGCCAGTTAGGTGTGTGTACAAAGACAGGAGCAGCAGGTGAGATGCATCTATGTAACTTTTCTTTATAGGTGGGTTTTTTTTGCTCTTACTGATATATCAAAATGCTTCATGGCCGACGCAAAAAAACAATAGCTGGAGTGAAGCCTATTTGTGACAGTGGGAAAAACATCTATCTGGATTCATACCTGGCACTTGCAGACAGCAACTTTCAGCCAGAAATAAGTATATGTTCAGAGTTTAACACATCTGTAACCTTATTCACAGGCACTGCTGGAACCCACAGGATCCTGTTGACATCTTACAGGCAGGGCCATCTCATACCCTGATAGTCAAGAACTGAATCACTACTTGTAACATGAATGACCCCATGTAATTAATCAAAACTCTTCTGATTCTAGTAGATCTCTCATAACAGCCATGAAAATTGAAGAGTAGTGAAGAAGGGCGAACTGCCTTTCTTCCAACTGAATAGTGACAGAATTTTTAAAAGCTAAGAGAATTAAGATCCTAAACCTGCCATTTCAGATGGAGTTCAGGTACAGGATCAGATTTTTAAAGTCTGTCAATGTTTTTTAAGCCATTTTTTGAAATCCATATGCAAACATCCATGTTTCAAATCCTACTTTCTAGGTGCCCTGACAGATTCAGATTTATCTATATGATTTAAGTCATGTTCCTTGAGAAGGTGCTCAGAGAAATGCCCACTGAGAGTAGGAGGATGAATAAAAGAGTCTCAAAAATATTGAAGCAAGAGGTTTCTAAGTGTCGTATCTCAGAAAGAATCAAAAGTATAATGCTGGCATGACTGAGGAACTCCCCCTATGTTTGAATTCACCAGTGACCTCCCAGAACAGAGAGGTATCAAAAGGACAGTTTTTAGTTTCTTAGAAAAAAAACTGGGAGAAGTGCTCCTTGTGACCACAAAGAGTTGAGGTTAAAAGCTTGATACAATGGAGAGCAGTGATGAGTGGCATTCTTCAGGGATCAGTATTGGTTTTGTCAGTGACATGAACAGTGGGATTGAGTGCACCCTCATCAAGTCTGCCGAGACACCAAGATGTGTGGTGCAATCAACATGCTGGAGGGAAGGGATGCCATCCAGAGTGATCTCAACAGTCTTGAAAGGTGCACCAGTGCGTACCTCATGAAGTTCAACAAGGCCATGAGCAAGATCCTGCAATTTCAGAAACATTTAAACAGCCAATTCCCTTGGCAACTTAACCTCTTGGAAACATCATTAAGTAACTACTTTAACTGGTAACAGCTGAGGCTCCACTGCAAATCAATGGGTGGGATTAATCTCTGTGAAGTGAGTAAATTAAATCAGCTTCCTGTAGTCAATGGAGTCTCTTCTACATTTGGTTTAGGTGTCCCCTAAATCAGCTGTTTGGAGAACTTCTCCTGAAGTGTCTAATCTCAGACTTGCATTGTCTTGGTAGTGTCAGGGTGGACAATTCGGTATTACAACACTGAATGGAACTATGCCTGAGGATGTGGCTCTGCTGCTTTTGGAATTTCTACTTCCCCACTCTGCAGACTTTCAGTATTAATATAAAGATCCCAAATGTGACCCATTCTGCAAGAGGAGCCCTGCTGTTAGCTTACCCATGCAACTGCTGCAATGTCTGAACTCTTAGAAACCATCTTCCTGGATAGTGAATTCACCAAGCACAAAGGCACAAGCATTGTATTGCCTCCACGGTGACGTATTTAATGTAACTTCAAATTTTAAGAAGCTCTAGCTGTGTATATACAAAATCCACGGTGGGACCATCTGTCTCATCCTCCACTCTAGGCTATTTATGCAGTCCAAGACAATTTATAGCAATCACAGTCCTGCTGTGTCACCCTACCAGTAGTAAACAACAGTATTAACAAAAAAAAACCCTCACGAACTCTTTGTGATTTTCCTTCTCCCTTCAAAACTATGCTTTATACAACTTTAGTTAAGAATCCTGAGTTAGAAGCCAGAAAAATAGCACTTTCCAACCTCAAAGCAACCACAGAACACTTAATGAATGTATTACCATCTGTCAAATGCACAGGGTGAGGTTCAATTTAGCTGATGATACCTAATTCACAATGACGCTCTGTTTTCAGCAAAAGGTTACTTGATGTTGAACAATGACATTAACAAATCTTGACATGCACAGAAATATAAATAATGTAACAGAAGTTAATAATTGGCAAAATTGTGCTCTCAGTTACACTGACATAAAAGAGGAGTAACTCCACATTGTCAACAAGCTATTCCGTATTTACTCCAGTTCAACCAAGAGACATACTTTGGCTCTGTTACTCAACTCTTCAAGCAAAAACTTCCTTAAACTATTAGCCTGTGCAACTATTTCCAGGGGACGAAGAGAAGCTGTTGTGTCTTGAAGTAGTTATACCACAATGGAACCAAACATGGGAAAACGTAAATGCATGGAGCAATACTTCGGGGGGGGGGGGGGGGGGGGGGGGAAGGAAAGAGTGAGCAAATGTCAAAGATTCATTACTAGGTACTCAGGATGAAATTTTGATCATACCAAAGCCCATGGAAGTTTTGCTGTTGACTCCCTTGGAGTTAGGATTTCTACTGAAGCTTTTAAAGCCAAAAAGGACTACTATTACCAGTTAATCTGACCTCCAAAATAATACTGGCCATAAAACTCCCATCATCACTGGCCATTTCCATCTCTACTTTCTGTGGGTCAAATAAGGCTGAATTAAAGTGGAAAGTAACTAGAAAGTAGTAAAAGAAAAACCGTTTGGAAAAAGTA